TCGTCAGAAGAGGATGGGACCCGAAGGATGTGCATCGACTACCGACAGCTGAATGCCCAGACAGTCAAGGACTCGTACCCTCTTCCCCTCATTGATGACATCATCGACAGCCTCTGCGACGCCCGGATCTTCTCAACTCTCGACCTGCGCTCCGGTTATCATCAGGTGCGCATTCGCGCCGGGGACGAGGACAAGACGACCTTTCGCACTCGCTACGGCACCTTCCGATTTCTGGTGCTGCCCTTTGGCTTGACCAACGCACCCCCGACCTTCCAACGCCTCGTCAACAACGTCTTCAAGCAGGAAATGGACAAGTTCATGGCACCCTACATCGACGACCTCGTCATCTACTCCAAGAATGAGAAAGACCATGAGCAGCACCTCCGTCAGGTATTGCAGAAGCTCCGCGACCATCGACTGTACTGCAAGGCGAGCAAGTGTCACCTGTTCCAGACGGAGGTGGAGTTCCTAGGCTTCATCGTGGGACAGGGCCACCTCAAGATGCACCCTGCCAAGGCGGACGCCGTCGAGAACTGGTCGACGCCGCAGAGCACAACCCAGCTGCGGTCCTTCCTAGGCCTAGCAAACTTCAACCGCCGCTTCATCGCCAACTACGCCAAGATCTGCGCCCCGCTCAACGACGCCCTCAAGAAGAACGGGTTCAAGTGGGGCCCGTCGCAGGAGGAGGCCTTCCGGGAGCTGAAGCGTCGTATGACACAAGCACCTGCACTCCGCATCCCTGACCAGCGCCAGCCATTTGAGGTGGCAACCGACGCATCAGACCGAGCGATAGGCGCCGTCCTACTCCAAGATGGGCAGCCAGTCGCGTACGAGTCCCGGAAACTCCAGGCCGCGGAGCTCAACTACCCAGTGCGGGACAAGGAGGCCCTCGCCTTGATCTACGCGCTGACCAAGTGGCGCGTGTACCTCCTCGACAAACGGACCACGATCCTCACCGACCACCGCTCACTGACGAACATCACCACCCAGAAGACATTGAACGGCAGATGGGCGCGATGGATAGAGCTCCTGAACGACTACGACCTCGACATCCGTTACATCAAGGGCAAGACCAACGTAGCTGCCGACGCCGTTAGCAGGATCCCTGACTCAGACGCACAGGAGATCACATGCGCCGCCATCTCTACCGCGACGCCGGCGGACCTGGTCAAACGCATCAGCAACGACATCGCGGAGGACGAGGAATTCGGCCCGATCTACAAGGCGCTGAAGAACCCCGACCAGACACCACCGCCTGCCGTGGCGGCGAAGCTCAGCCGTTTCGGACTCAATGACGAAGACCTGCTGATCTACCAGGAGCACCCGGAGCACCCGGAGGACATACCTCTGCGCTGGTGCATACCAGAGACGGCACGCGTGCCGCTTCTGGCTGAGTTCCACGACACTCCGACAGCGGGCCACCAAGGAATTCACCGCACCCACGAGGCGCTAGCGCGCCACTTCTACTGGCCCCGGATGCGGGCGGGACGTGGAGCGCTATGTGCGGAGCTGCAAATCCTGCCAGCGCCACAAGCCGAGACAGGGCGCTGCCCCTGGTCCCCTGCAGCCCCTACCCGTTCCCCGAGAACCCTGGACCGATATCAGCCTCGACCTCGTCACCGGACTACCCAGGACCAGGACAGGACAGGACGCCATCGTGGTCTTCGTCGACAGGCTGACTAAACGGTGTCACCTGGCGGCGACTACTAGCAAGTGCACGGGCCGAGACGTGGCTAAGCTGTTCATCTCCCACGTGTTCCGACACCATGGACTTCCTGCCAGAGTTGTGTCTGATCGAGATCCCCGTTTCACCGGCGCCTTCTGGAAGGAGACCTTCCGCTTGCTGGGGTCCCGACTTCAATTCTCCACATCGCAGCACCCGCAGACCGACGGCCAAACAGAAAGGACGAACCGCACCATGGAGCAGACCCTCCGCCACTACGTCAACTACCGCATGGACAACTGGGACTCACTCCTCCCCGTGGTAGAGTTCGCCCTTAACAACAGCAAGAGCGACTCCACGGGCCAGTCTCCGTTCTTCCTAGAGACGGGCCGACACCCGATTATCCCAGCTACACTCGTCACCCGCCAGGCCATACGCCGCACGGACACACCTGCAGCCGAGGACTTCGTGGTGCGCCTCAAGAGCATCATCACCGCCGCAAGAGACGCCCTCGCCCAGGCACAGGACAAGCAGAAGAGGTACGCCGACCAGCGCCGCAGCGACGACATCAAATATAGTCCCGGCGATCAGGCATGGGTCACCGCTGACCTCTTCGTCGACCAGGCCAACCAGCGACGACCCAAGGACAAGCTGAAGCCCCGCTGGCAAGGCCCCTTCACTGTCATCGACATGCCGTCGCGCACGACCGTGCGACTCCGGTTCCCCAGCCACGTGCGGGCGCACCCGGTCGTCAACGTCACCAAGACCAAGCCGTGTGTCAACAGCCCGTCAGACTTCAACACGCGCCCCAATGACGAACCACCACCCCTGCCGGACGGCGAATCGGACGAATACGAGGTGGAACGCATCCTCGACGAGCGAGTCCGACGCGGCAAGAGGCAGTACCTGATCAAGTGGGCCGGCTACGACATCAACGACAGCACTTGGATCAACGAGGACCAGCTCACACGCGACGTGCGTTCACTGATCATGGAGTGGCATCAGGCTTCGCGCAACGCAGCGGCTTGAGGGCAAGCCGTTTTTAGAGAGGGGGAAGGTGTAACGTCGCTCGCCTGTCTCTCTCTGTCTCTCCCCTCTGCCTCTCCGACTCCCTTACCCACTGCACCTTGTCCCGCTGTGTTCCCCTGTTTCCCCCCTTCTCGCCCTTCGAGGCACCGTATTGCTCTGGATGTTCTTTGTTCTCCTAATGTTCTGATGTCATGTTTAGCCTGATTGACGTCATGTTTAACTCGTGAGTGTCGTATAGTAGCGTTTGCCTGTGTCGTGTCACGCCGTGCCCAGTGCCTCGGAACTGCTTGCCTCTCGGCGGCGATCCCGAGCCCTTGGCACGGTACCGTCATCAACTAAGATGACGGCACGACACATGCCTGCATGCTGTGTTACGTCTGTTGCCCTTGTCTCTTGTTTTCCCCCTTGCTTAACCACAAGCACCCCTCTTGTTGCCTGCTAGCACGTGTGTGTTGCCCTGCACCCTGTTGTCGCTTATCTCACGTGATTGTCTGTGCCTTGTTCAGTTCTTTTGTTCCCTGGTTTACTTCGCATCAGTACACAGAACAAGCCACCGACACACCTCGACCACAGTCCCGTCACAGTGGTGGTGCTGTTGTTGGAGACTTGTGTGTGTGTGCTGTGTGTTGTGTGGGAGATTGGCTTGGCAAGAGAGAGTTGTGTGCGTTTACTTGAGTTGTGAAGCAAACAAGGATGTAGGATGAATGAACGTGAACTGAGAGACACTCTCACACATAGACAGAAAACTGGAGGAGAGAGAGAAGTGCCACGTGGCAAAACAACCAGAAACGCCCGTTTCTGGGCGCACGTGCACAGAAACGTTTACAGCAGAATTTGCTGACTCAGCAAGCATTGACACTGGAACAGTGATGTCAACAGTAGGATGAATGAACACTCCAACAGAAAGAAACAGAGCAGAAGACAAGAATTGTCGACAACGCAAAGTGGTGACGTGGTAGTGTTTGTTGAGAGTTGTGTGGTTGTGTGGTGTGTTATGCAAGAGCATGTAACATCGAGCAACCACACAAACTAAACACTGCACGTGCAACAGGTTGGAGGGAAATCACGTGAACGTTCCAGAACACAAGAGAGGTGAATGCAAATTTGTGGTGTCGTGAAGAAGGGAGGTCAATGATGAGTTGCCTGTCAACAGCAGGTGTTGTGCGCCACCGAGCGTACCCCATGGCAAGAGTAATAACGTGACGGCATACACCGATAGCACGGCCGGCCACGCAATTACACCGTGATCGAAGGATGCACCGCGATGAACATGAATATGCGAATGCCGTGTTGTGAGTTCCTCTGAGTGCACGCGGGATCTTGGCCCAGACGATGATCGTTGTTACAAGTTCATGGTGGTGGTGCTGTTGTTGGAGACTTGTGTGTGTGTGTGCTGTGTGTGCTGTGTGTGCTGTGTGCTGTGTAGGAGATTGCCTTGGCAAGTTACTTGAGTTGTGAAGCAAGGAGGGATGTAGTATGAATGAACACTCCAACAGAAGGAAGCAGTTACAGAAGACAAGCTAGGTGAGTGCAAATGGTGATGTCGTGAACAAGGGAGGTCAATTGCATGCGCCATCGCTGCCCGTTCAGCGTCGCTTTTGCCCTTCTTCGGTTAGGGTCAGCCGCCTGGCTCTCGTTGCTGTCGTTTGTTGTCGGATGTTGCTGCTTGTGCGGCGGCACTTTGTATGCTGTTCGGGCCTCATTGTTGTGTTGTTTCACACACCCTGCTCACCACCGATCCTATTGGCATCACGTACACACACACACACACACACACACACACACACACACACACACACGCTGCACACTCCATTGCAATCACCAACACCCATCCGCACCGCCACCATTATCAAGTCGTGTCCAGTGCCATGGCAAGCGAACTGGAGCACTGCTCTTCGTTGAAGTAAAAACAATGATCGTCCTTGCCTGTTAAGGCATACATGACAAAATCTTGTTCAAAGAATGAGGATATGCAGATTAGTCAATTTTGAGCACAAATATGGGTGGTTGTTCACGAACAACAATTTATTATGTGTATGTACCTTACACATCAGGACATACTATCTATTATAAGCACATTGGCATCTTTTCAGTACATAACCACCCAAACTCTGAATTCAGTCGCGTACCATGTAATGTGGCCGCTTCCATGTCCGCCTTCGCTTCCGCGTCTCCTGCTGTTGTTGTGTTTGCTGGTGTGTTGGTGTTGGCGATCGTGGTTGTTGGCGGTAGTCCACCCCACGATGACCCCTCGCTTGCGCCACCATGGCCAGACATGCGCGGCAACAACAGCAGAAGCGATGCCTTTGGTGGAAAAGCGCTGACTTGTCCCGTGACAGACGCAAGCAGGAGCTCTTTTTCTTCGTCTGCTGCTGGGGCTGTGCCCCGCGTGCTGATCATTACCTTTACCACCTTCGCCTACCGCCGTGTTGTGGAGAACATGATCGCGTCCATGCACATGGCTCAGCGCTTCTCACGTGTGGGTGTAGACGACGGATTTCCACCACAGCTTGACGTGGCTGCCAGCCTCTACGTCTTGTGTCTGGATCGCAAAGTGACCGATTGGTGTCGGCAGCAGGGGCTGAACTGCGTTCCCTTCCACGCACACTTTGCCAATACCTCGCTCGACGACGTAAGCTGCTTGCGTGTGTGCGTGTGTGTGTGTGTGTGTGTGTGTGTGTGTGTGTGTGTGTGTGTGTGTGTGTGTGTGTGTGTGTGTGTGCGCGTGTGTGCGTGTGTGTGTGTGTGTGTGTGCATGTGTGTGTGTGTGTGTGTGTGTGCGTGTGTGTGTGTGCGCGCGCTTGTGTGCATGTTTGTCCGCGTATGCTTCCTCGCACGTTGTACGCACATATATTGCTCTCGCTGCTGCTGACGCCTGCCTGCCTCCGTTGCACCTTCCTTTGCACCGTTCATTCGCGGCGCTTCTCACGTTTTTTTGTTCTGCTTCGGTCGGTTAGTTGTGGATGCTTCGGCTGCAGCTCGTGCAGGACTGCTTGCACCACGGATTCGACGTGTGGATGAACGACGCGGACGCGGTGTGGCTTCGTGATCCCTGGCCTCTAATTCACCGCGAGTTGACGGTGCACAAAGCAGACATTGTCGCACAACGTGGCGGGTGCGTGCTTGTGTGTGTACGCACGTACGGGGGTGTTTCCTCCTTCATAGCACCATCCTTTCTGCCTTTCTGCCTTCCCACCTCAAATACACGATTGTGTCTGTGCCTCTGGTGTCATTCTTCGCCTCTCCATCTCCCTCTCTCCCGCTCTCTCTGTCGCTTAATTCTCACGCTCACCTTCCCACATGCATTACTGCGTGCATACAGGTTTCCATTTGAGATTGGGAAAGCGTGGGGTGCAACCATGTGCTTTGGCTTTGTGTACATGCGCGCCACAGCCGCCACTAAGCTCGTACGTGTGTGTGTGTATGTGTGTGTGTGTGTGTGTGTGTGTGTGTGTGTGTGTGTGTGTGTGTGTGTGTGTGTGTGTGTGTGTGTGTGTGCGTGTGTGTGTGCGTGTGTGCGTGTGTGCGTGTGTGCGTGTGTGTGCGTGTGTGCGTGTGTGTGATATACCCATTTGCTTCCATATCACCTTAGGATCTGCCCCGCCCTCTCCGCGAAATTCATCCATCCCACTACCACGACCAACCACCAAGCTCCCTGCCCCCCCCCCCACACACACACCGCGCCCATGTAGGTGGTGGCGCTGGCGTTGCAGCTGGCCCCATATCTGGAGCGAGACGACCAGCTACTGGTGAACTCGGCCGTGTATTTATTGGCCACAGGACGGCAGCAACTTCTCCTGCCGCTCTCGCCGCACGATTTCGATGCCCTGCTGCGCCATCTCGGGGTGCAGGTTGGCACACCAGAGGCGCCTGGCCAGCCCGCACTGCAGTTCACGGGGCCTGGTGGTGTGGCTGAGCGAGCAAAGTGCCATCATCGCCCACTCTGCTACCGGCAGTCGCACGCCACCGCGGTCGTGGATGTGGGCCTGACAGATGTGCCCACGCAGTCGCTGCACCACATGCGAGTGGCGCTGCTCGGCCATGCACAGGTGCCGCGCCGCTGTCACCCGAGGTTCGACGGCGTGCAGTCCGCCCAGGGCCAGCAAGGGCCATTTGTGGCCCACTGTTACACCTCCAAAACCGGCGCAGCCAAGGCCCAAGTCTTCCACAAGTACAACCTCTGGTTCATCAACACCACGGCCACAGTCGACGACGCAAGCTCGCCATCGCCGTGACCTTCCCAACCTCATGCGTCTTGTCGTCTTTTTGAGCCACAAACAATACAGGTGAGATCAACGACGAAGTGCACGGTTGGATCCAGGGGTGTGGGCAACAGCCGCTCTTCCCAAGACGTTGCGTTTGCTCTCTTTCCGCAAAGCCCCACGCCTCGTGTTGTGTTTTGTTGTCGTCACACTGACGGCACACGTCGCTTCGCTCTCGTCACATGGCCCATGTCCACTTGCATCAGTTGCATTAACGGTCCTTTTACTCGAACATGTAGGAACAAGCTTGAAGAGTAGTTGCCAGTCACCTGTGCTGTGAAGTAACAACCAAACGAACGAACACGAGGGCTAGCGTCAACACGGCAAAAACCACATACTGTAACGAGGGCAAGGCAGAGGAACGCAAAACAAAAACATGAATCAAAAGCAAACAAACACGCACGTGTAACTCGGGAAAGGAAGCAAGCATGAAACAAGGAAGTCAGCACGAAAAAGCAATGACTCAAAAAACGGCACCACAAATGTGTGACATGGCACACACGTGAACTACGCGACTAGGCGACTACAGATCTACACCACTCACAGCGCCATCAACACTACCACCAACTGCTCTCACGCGCACAACCAACCACCTGTCGCACTGTTTCACACACTCGACTAAGTTCGAGAACTCTCTCACATCTCGGCGTACTATTCTTCTCAACACCCCGACACACACACACACACACACACACACACACACACACACACACACACACACACACACACACACACACACACAACTGCGACAACTGCGTTTAGTTGTGGTCCTTATTGTCTTCGTTGAAGACGTCTGGGCTGTCGTAGATTGGCTCGTCGCCATCATCGGCCACGTTGCCAAATCCATACCCGCCATCAACTGCATCGTACGCAGCACGGTCCTGATCGTCGACGTTGAAGTACGTGTCTGCAAAAGGATCGACCGCTTCTGCACAGAGAGAAGGGGCATGACAGGCATTGACAGATGGCAACGCATGCGTTGCTGTGAGATCGGAGGCGCGCCAAGCACACAGAGCGAGTAGCAGCACACCCACCCACACACCCACACCCGCACACAACACAACACAACACAACACAACACAACACAACACAACACAACACAACACAACACAACACAACACAACACACGTCGCACCGAGAGTTGAGGATGCAATGTAGTTGTGATCGTAGATGGGGTCCTCGTCAATGTTCATGTACACCTGGTCGCCACCCTCATCGTCATCGTCGTCGTCAGCGCCGGGACCAGCCCGTGCCGTCGACTCGTCCTTGGGTTGCGCGACCGCATCTGATGAAGGCCCAGCACGCACACAGAAAGGCAAGACCAGCCAGTTTGTGAGGAGAGAAGCGCAAATCAGCGCATGTATTCGAAAATGTGCGACGGCATGTGTGTATGTGTGTGTGTGTGTGTATGTGTGTGTGTGTGTGTGTGTGTATGTGTATGTGTATGTGTATGTGTATGTGTATGTGTATGTGTATGTGTATGTGTATGTGTATGTGTGTGTGTATGTGTATGTGTGTGTGTGTGTGCGTGCGAGGGAAGAGGTGACACGAATTTCGCATTGCCCCGCTCTGTACGAGTGTTCATTAACACGCAGCTCACCGTAAATCATGGCGTACACGTCATCATTGGTCTGCTTGTTCGGGCAAATGTCAAAGTACTGCTCAGCCTGCCCGTCATCCACGTTGTCTGCATCAAACGAGAACACAAAACGCAGGGAACCAGCAAGTGTTGGTGCCAGTGAATGTGATGAAGGCTCAATGTTGGGGGAGCGTTGACTCAAGGCAAGTAGATTCTTCAGCGCTTGACACACCAACACAAGCGACACAAGCGACATAAGCAACACAATCGACACAAGCAAACTGGAACGGTAGTGCACAACTTGCAAAAAGGTTTCCAGCACGCGTCAAGCAAGATGTGGAGCATCAGCCACTCACCGTAGATGGTGGCGTACTCGCTTCCTCGGGTCGTCGAGGCCGCGTTCATGTCCATGTACTCGTCGACACCACCCGGGGTGTCTGCACGTGACACAGAATGAAGGGGGCGGGGGAGGGCAGGTGAGTGAGACGTGCGCCATGCAAGTGTTGTGCACGGAAACAGCGCAGCACAGTCACATGGGCAAGCGAACAAGCAACCAATCGCACGCACCGTAGACGGCGGCGTAGTCACCGCCACGCTTTGCAGGCGAAGCCATGTCCATGTACTCGTCCGTCGGGTCATGGGGGAACGCGTCTGGATTGTCTACACGTATTGGGCATGGTAATTAACATGCATCCGTTCATGAGGAACGGAAGTGGTGATGCATTCGAAGCAAGTACACGCACAACAAAAAGTGTCAGGTACAGCAATTCAAATGAAGCACGCACACACACACGCACACACACACACACACACGCACACACCGTAAGTAACGCCCTTCTTGGGAGACTTCTTGGCGCGGCCAGCAGCAGAAGGTGCAGCATCAAAGTCCATGTACTCGTCACCAACTGGCGCTGCCCCAAGAAAACAAAACACAACAACAGCAGCATGACGAAGATAAGGCACGAATGGGGTCAGTCAGCAGCGAGTCAAGAGATACAAAGGCGAGCACTGTCAAAGGAACCCCATAAAGACAGCATAGATCACAGGAGCGCGCATGCTCAAAGCAAGCAAGCAAGCGAGCGCACCAGCTGTGTTGTTGTCGGTCCCTTCCACGTCCATGTACTCAGGGCCTGGTGCAAAGCCTGAGGAAACGAGGCAGCACAGCGTTACACGATGCGTCAACAACAATCCACGCGGAGTGACTGTGAAGTTGGAACACAGCACACCCGAAGCATACCAGAACACAATTGTCACAACAGTTCAAACGCCACGCTACGCTCCTCACCGAAGCTGGCATCGTCGTCGTCGTCGTCATCATCATCATCGCTGATCCCTTGATAAAGCGGGTTGCCTGCAGGCAAGCAACAACAACATAAAATCCGATCGAAGCGGAATACTTGGGTAAGAGCTTGCCGCACACAAATCACACTCGCCAGTGTCAACCCACAACGCACGCACGCACACACACACACACACACAACACATTTACACGCAACACACAACACCAACTCGCATTCGAAGGCAGGTTCACAAGAGCAAGCAGGCAACACGTGGCCACACAACGTACGAATGATCGGAGTGTCCTCATTCATGGACGAGACACTGAACCGCCGCGAGGCACGCTTGGACAGCACAGCCTCGGGCTCAGCGTACAGGTCAAACAAATCTGCCAACCACAAGCACACAGTCAGAGTTGAGACCAGGAAAGAAGCATAATCAATCCACCATCGTTGTGTGAGTGAAACCAACAGAGTCGACTTCCAGATGTACGAGTCCAGATGTACACACACACACACACACACACACACACACACACACACACACACACACACACACACACACACACAAGTGCACACACACACACAACACACACAACACACAACACTCACAATACATGCACACACCGTAGTCTTTGCTGGCAGTGGTGGGCTTGTCGTCAATGTCAACGTAGCCATTGTCCTCATCGAGAACAGCAACAAGGCCATCGTCGTCATCATCTGCAAACGCCTGCTTCTTGCCCTTGGGATTGCCCTCCTCATCGTAGCCAACGTACAGCGGGTTCTTGGCGTGGTGCATTCCGCCCTCAAACAGCGACGCATCAAACCCAAGCAGTGTCTGTGGATCCTCATAAAACATGTCGTCGTCGCCCGGGCCCCGCCGTTTCTGCGCCACGCCCTCATCGTACATCGGGTTGACCTTGAGGAACACGTCGCGCGATGTTGTTGAAGCCGCATCCACGCTCGTGCGCGAACGCCGCCGCCGCACAAAGGCAATCAGCGCCAGCACCAGCAGCAGACAGCCAACACCACCCGCCGCGGGACCAATCACACTCAGCATCGACGATGCCGAGGCAGACTTCTGTGTCTCAAATCGCTGGCACTGGCGGTCCGAGGTGGGCGTTGGCGCAGCCACTTCGCTCTGTGTGCCGTTGCACGCGGTGATTTGGCCGCACACCCTGTCCGTGTACTCGGTCGGCGCACGCACCTCGTACTCACGCGTGGCGTCACACGTGGTCAGCGGCGCACACACGCGATCGGTCGTCGCAGTTGCGTTGACACTCACAAACTCCTGTGTTGGGTGGCAGCGGGTCAGCGGCGTGCACACACGGTCACTCGTCGGTGTGGCGGCCGTCGTCTCGTACTTGCTGCTGGGGCGGCACACGGTCAGCGTCTCACACACGCGGTTCGAAGTCGGGGTTTCAGGTGCAACCATGTATTCTGAGGAAAGGTCACACGGGCGCACCGCACGGCACACCCAGGCGTCGATGTCGCCGTACTCGCCCTCCCCACACGACAGCGTGCATGCGTTTCGCACATCAATCGCCGCCTTCACAAACTGCATTGGGTTGTAGCCGTAGGTGGGGCCCACCGTGAGCACCACATCCGTGGCGCTCCCGCCGTCCACGCCAAGACCCGTCACCCTCAGCGGAGAAAACGTGCGCGTGCCGGCTGCAGATGCGCCCGTGTGCACGTACGCCGTTGTGCCCAGGTTTGTTCGCGTCACTTCAATCACAGATAAACCAAGGTGCGGGTCGTCCGCCAGCTGCGCCAGCTCGCTGCTCGATAGCAGTGGTGCAGGGAACGTGCCAACGTATGTGGCGCCTCCCACAGCAACGGTGGCGTGGCTGCTGGCCCCCGTGTCCGCTTGCGGGACGAGAGGCAACAGCACCGCACGCGTTGGGCGCGACGTGGCGTTCAGATCCGCCATCAGCCACGTGCGGGGGAGATGCGGCGCACCTGCCCCGCTGAAACCGCTCGCCGTCGTGCTGTTGGCGTTAGCACTAGTGCTGGGACCTGTGGTGGTGGTGGTGTCATTGGTGGCCGTTGCAGCAAGCTGTGCGAGCGCCGCTGCCTCTTGCTGCAGGTCCGCAATACGCGACACGAGGGCGCGCGAGAACGACGTGCTGGTGGACTCAAGCAGCACATACACACCCGTGTTGGCAGGGTCAGGCGCGTTGCCGAGTCGGTCCGCAACAGAGACGCTCACGACGTACTGGCACCCCTGCGTCGCAAGGGCCTCCACCACCGGAAGCTCAACAAACCGCCGCTTGCTGTTCACAACAGCAAGCATGTAATCTGCGTCGCCAGAGCTCACTGCGCCATCCTTGTTTGCATCCATGGCCAGCAGCCGCTGCGTGCCGTTCACCAGCGCCTGGATTTGCACGCCAACCACCGTTTGGAAGGCGTTGTCGCGCTCCACAGTGTACTGCAGCGTGAACAGCGCATCAGCTGTGCTGAATCGCCCGTCGCCATCCACATCCGCACCAACAAGGCCGGACGTGGAGTCGGCAGCGCGGCGAACCACGCCGTGCACGTCGGAGCCTGCGGGCTCGTCAAGCCAGGCGCCAAAGCTCAACGCAGCCTCACGGCGCGCCATGTTATGCAGTGGCGCCGTGGCGTTGGCGCTGCCCGCCGTTGGGAAGCGGCTGCCAAACACAACCACAGCAACGTCAGCGGCCGGCGACGTGCGGCCGTGACGACTGCCGCCCACGGGCTGCGCGCGTGGCACCGACCGGTCAAACAGGTCCTCCACCCGCCCACGCAGGCGATGAACGCCAGCACGCACAGCCCGGACGCGCACAGTGGCCACGAGGGCTGCTGGTCCCGACACAGATGAGTCGCCAACCAGCCCGGCCAGCGAGACCTCATCGCCGGTTGCGCCCACATCAAAGTGGCCAGAGAACGCAGGGGTTGCGCTGACAAACTCAAGCGCAGACGAGTTCATCTCAATGATGATGTGGAAGGCGCCCAGCGACGCTGCCTCGCCCATGTTGACGCGCACAGGAACATCAAACAGGCCACTGCTGCTGCTGCTGCTGCTGCTGTTGCCGTCGCTGGTGGTGGAGATGGTGGACACGTGCACGGAAGGCAGGGGCACGGAGAGTTGCGAGCCAAGGTCCACCTCCCCTGGCGCAGGGTCCACGTTGCACGCAAACGTGGTGTTGGCCTCAAGCACGTTAGGCAGCAGCGAGCTGCTTGCCGTGCTGTTGGGCTCGGGCACCAAGGTGCTAGCTGTCAGGACGACGTGTGCGTAGTGGTTGCCCAGCAAGGTGATCACACCGGTGCCTGCATCCACTTCGACGGCAGAAGCGACCGCCAAAGACGGGGGTTCCACCGTCCACGTGACCAACCCGGGCACAGCAGCAACACCGTCCGCTGAGAACAGGTTGTCCAGGCGCGTGCCATCGCTCAGCACCGCACTCACCATCGCCTGTGTCGTCGTCGTGTTTGGTTCGCCATGCAGGGTTGGTCCAGAGAGCAGGTGAACGTTCTCAAGTGCCGTCACGTACACGGGCTCCGTGTCTGTGGCCGTCACCGTCAGCGAGTCGTCAACAAAGCCACCAAACGAAGACTCCACTGCCGACACGCCAGAGGCAACGGCGCTCACCACATTGCCCTCCACTCCAATAGACGGCACGCTGATTTGGGCCCCACCACTGTCCGTGTGGGTCGATGTTTTGTCGTTTGTGCTGTAGACCACGCTCCCCTGCGGAAGCGGCACCTCGTGGCCATCCTCAAGCACCAGGCGGCTTGTCAGCTGCAACTGCTGGTACGACGGTGGTGTGGTCCCAAATACGCGGCGCAGGTCAGCCTTGCTTGTTGACGAGGAGCCGGCGTATGGCGGGTAAGGCGTGCTTGTTGTTGTCAGCCCCACAGACCTGGTCACGTGCACGCTGAACATTGTCACAATCGGGTTGTCTGGTGTGTCCACCATCACCACAAGCACGGCGTCTCCAGGCTTGGTGGCACTCAGCACCAGCTTGCCATCCACCACCTCAATGCTCACCACATCCCCGCCAGTGTCCTGGTTGTTCAGGGTCCAGTGCACCCGCGAATCCGTGGTCACGTCCTGAGCGCTGCCGCCACCAGAATACTCAAGAAGCACCGACAGCTGCATGGAGGTCGGGATGCTCGCGCCGCCCACGCTGGCCGCTGGGTCTGTCTCAAGCACAAGCCGCCTCGCCGTGTTCGTCAGGCGGACGCCTGTTGGCTTTCGGAGCTGCAAGTCCACACTCACGTCCTCCTGGGCGAGCACGTAGGTGTATGGTGGCGCCGGGGTTGTGGCGCCTCCGCCCCCTGCGACTCCGCCATCGGCATCGCTGCACACGCCGCCCTGGAGTGCGGGCGGGGCCCAGACCACGCGAACACGGGAGGCAACTCCGTTCCGGGCACCAGCAGCCACAGCAAACGTCGCCGGAGCAACCGGAACGAGCTGGCCCGCATCGAGCGGCACCATGTACAGGCCGTCCAGCACGTCAATCGGAAACTGTGTGCCATCCCGCAGCACGACAAAAGCATACACATGCGTCACGTCGCCTTCCGCGCGCAGCGGCGACGACTGAAGACGCACGTGCACAGGCACCTGGTCAAACAACTGGTGAACGGCATCGTGGTCCAGCGACAACGTCGCAGACTCCGCGCTGCCCGCGTACAGGCCGTCAATCTCCACCACCTCATCACGTGTCACGTGCACGGGCGTGGAGGCCAGAACAACGCCGCTGTTGGGCTGCTCCACTCGCACCTCGGTCGTCCCGTCTGCAACGCCAACCACGTACGTGTCTTTCACGCGAGCAACGTCGTCGTCCGCAACCGTGAGCTCCAGTGCCAGCTGTGCCACATCCAGTTGCACCTGTCCCGGAAGAGCAGGCAGGCACGCTTGTCCATCCACGCCTGTGCAGGTGAAGTTGGCCAGAACGTGCACGCGAGTGCGCTCAAACACGGTCGCCGCAGCACAGGGCTCACGAACGCCAAAGGCAAGCGACACCTCACGCGGAACCAACGCACGCAGGCTCGTGCGATCCAACGCAACGCTTGGCGCAGACGCTGGCACGTACACACTCACAACGGTGGTGGCCTCAAGCTGGCCTTGTCTCACAGTCACCACAGCCTGTCCGCCGGGGCTGCTAAAGGGCAATGAGGCCGAAGAAGACAGCGTAACCGCATCGCAGTTCGCAGACACCGCTGCCAGGGCGGCGCCCGAAGCACCAGCGTCCAGCGAGCACTCCGTTGGGGTGGCGGTGGACGAGGCACCAAACTCATCGTATGCGGTCACCACGAGCTGCGTGCTTGTCTCGATGCCAGTCAGCAGCCCCGTGTTCACCAACACGGCACGCTCCGTGTGCGCAAGCAGCGCCCGCGTGGCAGTTGGGCGCACAGCCAGACGACCCTGGCCACTGGCGTGCTGGCCAAAGCGATCGCTCATTGTCACGTTCGTCGGGAAGGATGTGGCACCGCGGGGAATGCGCACGGCATCACTCACGTCACTCAGCTCCTCCGTCGTGCAAGACACGGTGGCGGAAGCCAACCCAGGCGCACCACCGCTCAGGTCAACACCATCTGCAAGGGCGACGTCAAACGAGAAGAGCTCCTGCTCGCCAAAGCTGTTTGGCACGCGGTGGCCGTTCATCAACAAGCCCGCAACAACCAGCGACCGCCCGTCAAGGTTGGACGCCCGGGAAGTCCACACGCTGTCATCAATCGACACCTCGCCCAGAACAAGATCCGGGTGGCTCGACACGCACTTCACACGGAACACCTCTGCGGTGAACGCGAACGAGCTCGACACACTCACAACGCCAGGCTGGTCCGGCGTCAGGGCATGCGTTGGCAGACGCACACGAATATCCTCCACATCCTCTGAAGCCGATGAGGCTGGCACAACCAGCGGCAGCGTGCCCACCTGGGAGTACCCGTCCTCGTCAAGGTCCGCACCGCCAGAGGCAACAACGGCGTCGCTCGTGACAAGAACATCCACAATAGCCTCATTGGGCGACGTGTGCGATTCAGGCGAAAACCACACTTGGGGAAGGGAGAGCACGGCCACACACACGCCATGCGACTCGCTCGTTGCGGTGCACTCGCTCATCACTTGGACCAGAGACAGACTGGAGGAGGGGGAGCGAAGCCGCAGCACAAAGGTTGCTGTTGACGATGAGCACGCAACATTTCCAAGGTCATCGCGTACAGAGTACAGCAATCTCGCAGTGCGCGCCGTGCTGGTCAGCTCAACGCTCAGCACTCGCGCAGCAAACGCCGCCGCCGACCGCAGCGGAAGCGTGTAAGTGTCGCTTGCAACCAAGCCTTCACCAACACGAACCGATACCATTCCTGTGTGGCCAACGGTCAGCTGGGCCTCGTATGACGACGGGGACGACACGGCTGATGAAAAGGGGGACGGCAAAACAACGCCCGGAAACGTGGACTGCACTGTCACGTGCACGGGCACGTGCGGCGCAACTGCAGCGAGCAGTGTCGCGTTCAAGCGAGGATCAGGAGTCACGCACGTCCGATCAGATGTGGGGGTGGGAGGGGCGAATTGAACCTCCCCATATGAGCACGGTGTGACCGTTGCACATTGGCGATCGGCAAAGGGGTCGTGCATGCCGTGTGCAGATACTCTCCGCTCGCGCACGACCGGCACCGCTTGCACGTCGTGTCTGCCTCGCTCGTGCACGGCGACTGCACAAAGTACCCGCTCCCGCACCGCGTGCATTCCGTGCACTCGGCATCAGCAAGCGGCGTGCACGCCGTCGACACAAACGTCCCGCTTGGGCACTCAGTGCACGCCTTGCACACAGCATTCGCGCTCTCGCTGCACCCAGACACAAGATACTCAGACGACGTGCATTCCCGGCAGCTCGAGCACTTGCGGTCGCTCGTGTCCGTCGCGGCAACAGACTCGTACTCCGTGTCCGCACACACCGTCAGGTCCGCACACACCCTGTTCGTCGTCGCCGTGCACGTCGCCGTCTCATACTGCGTCCCGCTGTCGCACCGGTCGCACTCAGCGCAGTCCCGGTCCGTTGTCGCCGTCGGCTTCGACACCACAAACTGCGTCGAGTCGCACTGCGTCACACTCGCGCACTTGCGGTCCGTCGTCGCCGTCGGCGCACGCGTCTCGTACTCCCCGCTCCCGCACGTCGTCAGCCCCGTGCACTCCCGGTCGCTGTTCACTGTCGGCGCGCGCGTCTCATACTGCTCATCACTGCACGCCGTCAGCGCTCGGCACTGCGTGTCCGTGCTCACAGTCGCCGCACGGTACACGTACTCGTCCTCCTCGCACGTCGACACAGCCTCGCACGGCGTCTGCCCAGTCGTCGCCTTGAACTTGCCAGACGCGCACGTGCTGCACACCCGGTCCGTTGACGCTGTCGGCGCGCTCGTCTCCTCCTCGCCAGCGCCGCACTCGCTCACAGACGTGCACCTCGTCAGCCCAGCGCTCCCGGCATAGTTCACGCCTGCCTCGCACAACTTGCACGCCGTCGCAGCATCCTCGTCCTGGTCCACGTGGCCCGCCGCGCACTCAAACGCCGCACACCCGCCAGTGCGTCCGCGCGGCACATAGTGCCCGGCACTGCACGCAACACAGGGCGTCGTCCCGCTTCCGTCAGCATCCGTCGTGCCCGCAACACACTGCCGGCACTCCCGATCAGACGTCGCCGTCGGCGCGGACGTCTCCTCGCTGCCCGGCACACACTGCGTCACCCCGCAGCACTCGCGGTCCGTCGTCAGCGTCGCTGCCGTGCACTCGTACTCCCCAGGCTGGCACGCCGTCAGGTCCTTGCACCGGCGGTCACGCGTCGCTGTCGGCGCCTCAACCTCAAACTGCGTGCTGCTGCACGTCGTCAGCGTCGCACACTCCGTGTCCTGCGACACGCTGCAAGCCTTCGTCTGGTACTCATCGTTGCCACACGTCGTGCACTGTCGGCACTGCGTTTGAGAGCTCAACGTGCATGACGAAAGCGTGTACTCATCGGACGCACACTCGTCACACCCAACACACTTGGTTGGCGACGTATCAGTGCATGCCTTGTCAAGTGTCAGCCCATCCGTACACCTGCCGCAAGGAGAGCACTCTCTGTCCGTGGTTATTGTCGGTGCCTTGGACTCCCACTCGTCATCCTGGCACACCGTCAGCGCCTTGCACTTCCGATCAGACGAGCTCGTCGGCGCAACCGTCTCATACTCGGTGTCCTCACACGTCCTGTGCGCACGACACGTCCCATCGCCAGCAGTCGCCTTAAATGTCCCGGGCGCACACTCAACGCACACCCGATCAGACGATGGTGTCGGAGCAACATCCTCCTACAAACACACACACAAACACGCACACACAAGCACATTGTTGCATCGCAGTCGCATCACACCAACCACGCGTGAGCCATCGTAACCAAACATACAACCCAGGCACACACTCACGCACGGCTTGTACAACCCAAGTTCATTCACAAACATGCACACATATGCACACATATGCACACACATGCACACAGTCAGTCAAAACACACACACACACACTACACAGTGACGTACCGTGAAGCCAGCAGCACACGTGCTCACGGCAATACATGTCGTGCTCTGCCCAGCAGCAGCCTTGAACGTCCCACTGGCACACGTGCGGCACTGCCGATCTGTGGACAGCGTCGGCGAAGCAATCTCCTCCTCACCAGCGCCGCACGTCGTCACAGAAATGCACCGCGTGCTCTGTCCGCTCTGCGCCTTGAACGTCGACCCGAGCTGGCACGGCTGACACACCCGGTTCCGCGTCGCACTCGGCGACGTCGTCTCCTCTTCGCCAGCCCCGCACGTCTTCACACTCAGGCACCGCTCCTGGCCCTTGCTCGGCTGGTACGTCGTCGTCCCGTCGCACGCCTCGCACGCCGTCCCAGCGTTGCTGTCCGTGTCAGCCGTGCCCGCGCTGCACTCGTACTGCGAGCAAGTCCCAGTCGACCCAGCTGGCACATACGTCCCACCGCCGCACGTCACGCACGCGTCGCTGCCGTCGCTGTTGGCATCCGTTGTCCCAGCTGGGCACGCCTCGCACACGCGGTCGCTGCTCGCCGTCGGCGCCACCTTCTCCTGCTCCCCAGCACCGCACGTCGTCAGCCCGCGGCACACACGGTCGCTCGTCGCCGTCGCAGCAGTCTTCTCGTACTGGCTGCCCGTGCACACTGTCAAGCGAGTGCACCCTCGGTTTGAGGTTGAGGTGCATGGCGATGTCTCGTATGTGGAAGATGGACAAGCGGTGCATGACGTGCAGCCGCTTGTTCC